CTTGTCTTTGGGGTTTGAATGCATCCTATATCTGAATGTCTATTTCATTCTCAAGGTTGGAAGTTTTTCTGATATTATTTTCTTGAAGAGTTTATCCATGCCCTTAAGCTGCATCTCACAATTTGCTTAGATTACAAGGATTCTTAAATTTGGTCTCTTAATGTTGTCCCAGAGTTCTTGAATATTCTGATCATAGTTAATAATTTTCTTTTATCTTTTCTGGTTTAGTGAGTTTTCATTTTTATTTGTTTTTAGATATACATAATAGAATRTATTTTGATATATTATACAAATATGGAGTATGAATGTTCACTTTGTCTTCTAGTGACTGGCCATTTTGTCTTCTAGTTCTGAGATTCTATCTTCAGCATGGTCTACTCTATTGCAAAGACTTTAAACTGAACTTTTTATTTGATTTATTATACCCTCATTTCCAAGATTTGTTTGGTTCTTTTTCAATAGCTCTATCTCCTTATTTAATTTCTCATTCATATCTGGTACTGACTTCTTTAATTCATTTAGTTGTTTCTCTGTGTTCTTTTAGAATTCATTGATCATTTTTATTATTGTTCATCATTTGTTATTTCATCCATTTCCAAATCTTTGTAGTTAATAGCTGGTGAATTATGAACCTTAGGAAGTGTCATGTTACCTTATTTTTTCATATTCCTTGTATACCTGTGTTGGGTTTTAGGCATTTGTTGGGAAGGATTTCTCTTCCACTCTTAGATATGGGCCTTTTGAGAGCACTTCTCTTAGTAATGTATTCTGGGACATCAGATTGTTGTACATTTTTCAATATATTTCCAAGTGGGATTTGTAATATAGTTTCCCTGGTAGTTCTTTGGTTTTAAGTAGCATATTTGGATACAATGTGTATTGTGTCAGAGACTGAGGATCCTACTTTCCCTTTTGGTATCACAAGAATGGGGTCCTTCTTGTAGATCCAGCAATTGTACTGTACACAGCAGGGTATGTGGGGTACATCCTCTGTGACTGTGCTTCCATGCTTAACAAATCTGTATGTTCTAATGGAATATGAGAGTGATTTAGATTGAAACCCCTTGTAGATGTRGTGCCCACAGTTTTTGTGTTAATTTTGTTTTTGCTGTAGGAACAAATATCCATGAATGGGACCTAGAGGCCTCCCCATTCCTACTTGGGCCTGGTTGGTTTGGGGTTTTGTCTTTTCTATTCTTAGTATTAAATTATCACTGAAGTTTAAGCATGTTTAAATTTTGATGAACAAGATAGGCTGTCTCTTGGCTGGATTTTGGATTTAGCACAGCAGTCTCTACCCTATGTTCTCACAGTGTCCCCATAGATTCTCAGATCCTCATGTAAAGTGGGGGGCAAATTATAGCACTGAACAATATATAGCATTAAAATAAATATCACATTCCTAATGACATCTATAATGCTAATTACCACAAAACAGGAATGGTAGGGTCAGCAATTGCTAACAGCAAAAACAAATAGCCATGAACTAGGTATGACATTAAAGTAAACAGCAGGTGTCAACTATACCAACCACAGTACTAATAACTGCAACAACATGAACGATGAGTGTAGGAATTATATAAACCAAATAATTCTAGAAGATGGTAAAAATATTGTTCATTAAGGGAAAAGACAATGTAGTGGAAGGTAAGAGAAAATTTGAAATGTTCAAAATGTGAGCAGAAGAGATGTAGCCAGTGATTCCTACAAAGGAGGAGGAGAAAAAAAAATAAGTAAGTAAAGACAAAATAAGAGAATTTGGCTATGACAGGGAGAAGAAAGGAGTGAAAGAAAATCAAGACAAAAACTCTAACCCTCAAAAGACAAACTAGAAAAATAAACTTTAAAAAATGAGAAAAAAAGAAAAGTGTGTGTGTGTGTGTATCAACCCAGTGATCAACACAGCAAGAATACCACGGGGGAAAAGAAGGAAATAATATTAGTGAAAAATGAAAAAATTGATCCCACTGAGGTGGTCAAAAAAGGATGGATGTCCAGTGCCTATTCCAGGTTAGCCTTTCTTCCATTTTGTCTTGAGCAAGGGCTGAGGGCTATTTTTATGTTTATTTTTATATTGCTCACCAAGCTACAGCTGGAACTGAAGGTGATCGAAATAATTCTCAGCTTTCCTTCTAACCAATAGAAGGTAGGATGGAATGGCAAGTACAGTCAATTGGAATCCTGTCAATGCACTCCCAGGGTGGGACTGTTGCAGTTTTTAATGGGAAGGTCTGATGGCTGGGGGTTAGCTTTAATCAGGTCTTTGGGTCTATGTTGGGTGGCATCTGCTTGGAAGAGATCAGATCCAACATACKCCTAGAGCTGGGCAGATGCTGATCTCTGCATCTCAGGGGCCTCCCATGGATTCTATTTGTAGGGTGAGGGAGCCAACCCTCCACAGGTTTCTCACTCTACACCCAAGAATGTGGCCTTTCCAGTTTCAGATCCTGAGTATAATGACACCTGCCTTTTCAGTTTTCCAATCCTCTTCATCAGGTCATGTGAGCTACCAGAGTCAAAGGGATGCAAGTCTCCCTGGGTACAATCTCCTCTCTGCCTCTTTTAATCATATTCTGCTAGGTAAATTCAAGGGCACACAGTATGGCAATTTTGCTGCTCCTGAAGCCAAGCTGCAGTGTGGCCTTCTCAATAAAAGTGCTTTTTTTTTGGTGGTGGCGGGGAGGGGTACTGGGGATTCAACTCAGGGGCACTCAACCACTGAGTCACATCCCCAGCCTTAGCTTGTATTTTTGTTTAATTTAGAGAAAGGGTTTTGCTGACTTGTTTAGTGCCTCAGGAATAGATTTGAACTCCCAATCCTCTGTCTCAGCCGCCCAAGCGTCTGTAATTACAGGTATGTGTCTCTGTGCCTGGCTTGCCAGTGCTTTTCAAACACCAGTTTATTGTGTAGCCTCTGGTTCAGCTAAGTTCAGAGACCTTTTCTGTTCAACAGGTTTGTCCCCTATGTTTCTGTTAACCCTACCTTTGCAGTGAACTGGTGCTACTGCTACCACTAGCTTGGCTACCATGTATTCTTTCTTGTCTTTTGTTCAATGAACTTGAATTTCTGGATTTCTAAGAGTCTGACTGTCTGATACTGAATTTCAGTGAATTTTCTCTTTCACCACTTACTGCTGAAATTCAAGCAGTAGGAATTTGGAGCAACCAGAAATGCAGCCTTCCTCTAATACACCATCTTCAATCTCCCACAATACTGTCATGATTACCAATATCTCATAGGAAGTCTTGAAATCAGATAGTATAAATCCTTTAACTTTACTGTTGTTCTTTAAAAAATTACTTTGGCTATTCTAATTTTATTGTTCTTTTAAAATTACTTTCGGCATTGTAGGTYGTTTGCATTTTCACATCGATTTTAGAATTATTTTATCAATACCCATGAAAACCTTGCTGGGATTTTTATTTGGATTGTGTTGAAACTATAGATCAAGTTGAGAAGAACTGTCATTTTATTAAAGTTAGTTCTATTTCATAACTATATTGTATCTTTGTTATATATTTCTCTATTTTTAATTTCTTTCACCAGTGTTTGATAGTTTTCAATGAAGAGGTCTTACATGTCTGCTATTCAGTTTTTTCCTAAGTATTCCATATTTTCTGGTACATTGTCTGAAAATTTAAATTTGCCAGGTATGATCCTGCACACCTCTAATCCCAGTGACTCGGGAATGTTATGGTGGGAGCAAGGCCACTTAGGATCAATTTAAACAAAACCCTGTCTTGAAATAAAAAATAAAATGGCTGGGAATGTAGTACAGTGGTAGAGTGCCCCTGGATTCAATCCCTAGTAGCAGAAAAWATATATATATACAGAAGCACAGTCGAATAGAGACGAGTACAGGAGCAGAACTGTGAAGACCTGGTTTCTTGTCCTGCCCCTTGTTAGTTGTTAGCCTGTTTCCTTGTGATAAAATGGAGCTAAAATATCTGCACTGGCCATCTCTCAGTGTGCCTGTTCAAGTGACATCATGAAAACATTCTCACAGATATTGTGAATAAATATATTTATAGCCATTTCTCTATTTGCCTTAATTCTTATGAAATAAATCAGATATTTCTAAATTAATTAACTCAGGAACATGATCTGTAATCTGCTGGCTATGGTAGCAATTGAGAACCAGCTCTGACAAAGCCTATGAGCTCTGTGCTCATTTTGCCTAACAATGGGAAGAAAAGGTCATAAAAATAGGTACAGGTTCTGTACCTACGACACAGCTGATGATGTTAGAAAGCCAAACAGACCATTATTCTAGAGCAGTGAGTCCTTGCTCGAAAAATTCCTGTGATGAAAAAATGTTTTATGTCAGTGTTTTCCAGTATGGTAGTCCCCATTCCCACAGGACTATTGAACTGTGACTGGTATAAGGGAGGAAATGAATTCTAAGTTTTACCCAATTTTATTTAAATAGCCACATGTGCAGAGTAGCTACCTTATGGAACAATGCAGCTCTAGAGSAAAAGTGAGATATGGATTTGTTCAACAATGTTGAAGTTCTCTAACTTTTCTCTCATAGCCAACAAGTAAATCATCTACAGTTTGCAATTCTGAAACTGTAGCTTCAAATGCCTTTTACCCCCAAATCAAACAAAAATTTTATAGTATAATTTTTGATAATGAGAACCCAATTGTTACTTTGTAGCAATACAGATGAAGCCAACAAATGTGAAGGCTACATAAACAAAAAATTCCTTTGTTTTATACATGTTTACCTGAAAAGATGTTACCTTCTTTTCTTTTCTTTTCTTTTTTTTTTTTTTTTTTGAGAGAGAGAGAGATAATTTTATTTTTATTTTTTAGTTTTCGGCGGACACAACATCTTTGTTTGTATGTGGTGCTGAGGATCGAACCCGGGCCGCACGCATGCCAGGCGAGCGCACTACCACTTGAGCCACATCCCCAGCCCTTACCTTCTTTTCTTTAAAATTAAAAAGCAGTGAAAAATAGGAGTTGCCTGAGAGTGGTCGTTGCCACCTCCTACCTTGCATTTTCCGTTCTCCGACTTATGCACTGGTGCAAGTAGAGATACTCCTGAGGTGCACTGGTGGACAAGGTGGGCTGCACATGGTTTGACACAGAAGGTTCGAATGTGAACAAAGTTGGCTGGCTGGAGTGTGATGGGGCTGAGGATTTTCGTTCTCGCAGCAGGTGATGACTGGAGCTGCTGAGCTCAGCTGGAGAAGAGCGGGGCCCCTGACTGGCTGAGGAAATGTTTCTCAGGGAGTCTGTGAAAAGGAGAAAGAATTCTGTGAGTGAAGAAGGCAGAAAAGGTATCCTTATCCTAAAGATGGCTGTCAGAGGAAGGAAAAATATAAAGATCGGAAGAACTAATCTAGCTGTAGCATTCGTTCCCTCATATACCTGCTCCCTCTCACCTCTCAGAGAGGAGGGCTGGGGCTTCTGGGACATCTTTTTTTTGGGGGGGTACCATGGATTTGGGGGGTACCCCAGCTCTATTTTGTATTTGAGGGGAAACAGGGTCTCACTGAGTTGCTTAGCACCTAGCTTTTTGCTGAGGCTGTCTTTGAACTTCTGCCTCAGCCTCCCCAGCTGCAGGGATTATAGGTATGTATGACCACGCCCAGCCTGGGCCATCTTGGWGGAGGTGCTCTGTAACTTTGTACTGCTCCTGAAGGACAATGCCTATCACAACCTGGGGCTGATCTGCTCTAGCTCAAGAAGTATGGCTACCTGTGGTCCAGAAGTCAGGTAAGGTTAGCCTCTGGAGCATAGTAACACAGCCCTCCTCCTCAGTGGTTGCTCCAGCTGTGGTCACCGCCCTTAAAGCTATGCTGGCTTTGTTAAATGAGGCACTGCTTGCAGAAGACTCATTAACTGAGACCCAGGACTGTGTCTTACTATATTAATAATAAAAGCACAAATGTACTTGCAACTCTTCCTTTAGATTGAACCCCAGTTCCTGCTGCCTGCTCATGCAAGTCCTCTGAGGGCTGTTAAGTTTCCCACTCCCCACCGCTCTCCGTCCATTGGTCTTTCTTCCTCTCTTATCTCAAACTCTCCTTTTTTTGTGTTAGAAAGGAAGTGAGGTATTAAGGACAGATAATAGTCTAGAGTTCTACACTTCAAGCCAAAGGTATTATTCATGTGGCTGGCTAAGCTTAGTCTAAATTCCTTAGCATAACATACAAGGCCTTTCAGAGTCTGACCTGTTTCCTGCTTTTCTCCACCCGTAAACAAGTCATATGGAAGCATCATCAGTCCCTGAACACACCAGCTTCTTGTAATTCTTTGTTTTGGCTTATGCTGTTTCTTCTACCTGGATTTCACTTTGACTTTCCTGGAAAATGCATATGCAGATGTTAAGACCCTGCACAGACATCACAATCTCTCTGAAACTTTCCTGGACTGGTTTTTCTTCTGGATGCCAACAGTACTTTGTTTATGCTTTCACTATATCCATGGTCACTCTGTTTCCTTGTCTAGCCCATGGGTTTTTATGAGCTATGATCATGATATTATCTCCATAGCTTCAGCATTTGCCTAATAGAGGTCCTACCTAGAAGGTTTTTAGTCCATGATTGCAGAATAAGCAAAAACAATCATTAAGCATTCAAAATTTTCAATAGTGAAACTTTCATTCTAATGGAATATAGGTTTAAAGATAGAAGTTCAAGTGATGTGCTAGCTGGTGGTGGTGGTGATGGTGACCTTCTAGTGTTATTCAAATCATACCAGAGGTGAAACAGATCTCTATCTGTTCCTGGTTACCTGATCTATTTCTGGCTGTGCACTTCTCATTGCCCTAGGCAGGACCATCAGCTTACAAATGCCCCACCATTCTCATTTCTCTCCAGTCATTTCTGATGCTGGGAAGGACATCTTTGCTAGTCTACAGAGAAAAAGCCAGTGGGCCTCTGGGGAAACTGTTCCACTGACAGCTGTACTGACCTCCAAATGAATTCCCATTATAGGTCACATAGTGACCCAGACGTTTGTTAACAAAATCAATAGCTTTATTACTCGATTAGGTTTGCAAGATGAACCCTCTAATAGGAGGGAGAGGGTTTATGCTAGGGGACATGGTAGCCATGGTGCCAGGGGAGGAATGAAAAGAAAGCCTCAGGTGAGGTCCTACATGCTCTGTGGTCTTTTTGCTGACCCCCACACCTCAGGATTCAGCTCTAGCCCCTCTTATAGCCTCATTCTAACCCTGGAGCCTCTGCAGGGACATCCCCATCTATTCCCAAGCTCAGTCACTACTAATGTGATGACAACTCTCAAACTTTATCTCTAGTTCGATTCTTCCGGGGTTCCCTGTCGTAATATCCCTCCACCTGCTGGGCGTCTCCATTCAGATGTCCCATAGGCAGGCAGGCTCAGCAGTCTAAATGAACTCAACGAATCTGTGTCCCTTCTTAGTGAAACACATCATCATGTCAGTTCTTCAAGCCCGGAGCCCAGGTGACTTCTAGGCCTTTGCCTTCTTCAACAACCACCTCATGGCCATGCCACTGCCCTACTGAAACATCTTCATTGGCTTCCTGTTATCCTTAAGGTGATGTACAAAGTTCTTTCTCTCTAAAACCATTATYCTGTGTATTTCTTCAACTTTGTTGCTTACCAGTGCTTCCTTATCCTTCAGAGGAATTCTAGGAACATAGGAACCTCTCTCTCACCACTCTGTACATTAGGCTGTGAATTTAGTGAAGGCAKATTTTTTCTTTTGTGATGATTTTCTCCCCAATATCAAGCCCAATGTGTGACACAACTCATTGAAATTTGTTGATCAAACAAACTCTAATGCATAACTAGTCTCTCAGAAATATTCACTGATTTCAGAATAAAGGACAGTGTGTCACAACCTGCTTATTCTGTATCTGAATGTCCATAACAGCTTTATTCATGATAGCCAAAAAGTCTATTAACTGATGAATGCTAAACAAAATGCAATTCATCCATACAGTGTACTATTATGTAGCCCTATAAACAAATGAAACAAATGAAATGATCTTCAAAATAGTGTGCTAAGCGAAAGAAGCTAGTCACAGAAGACTACAGATTGCATGATTTAATGTATGTGAAATGTTTGGAACAGGTAAATCCAGACAGACAGAAAGTAACTTAGTTATTGCCTGGAAATGAGCATGGGGTATTGGAAATAGAGAGTAACTGCTAATGATTATGAGTCTCCTTTCCAGGGTGATGAAAAACTTGTAAAAGTAGATTTTGGTGATGGTTGCAAAACCCCGTGAATATACTAAAATCACTGAACTGAACACTTTATTTTTTTGGTACCAGGAACTTAACCATTGAGACACATCTCTAGCCCTTTTTATTTTATTTTTTTAAATTTTAAGACAGGGTGTCTCACTAAGTTGCTTAGGATCTTGCTAAGTTGCTGAGGCTGGCCTTAAACTTGAAATCCTCTGGCCTCAGCCTCCCAAGTCACTGGGATTACAGGTATGTGCCATAGTGCCTAGCTAAACTATATACTTTAAATGGGTGAGTTTTATATGATGTGAACAATATATCAGAGCTATAAACACACAGTTTGATGATTCTTCCTGATAAAGTTAAATTATCACATGACCTAGCAGTTTCATTCATAGGTATATACCCTTGAGAAATGTAAATGTATGTCCACATACACACACAAAAATGCACACAGGGGCTGGGGCTGGGGCTCAGTGGTAGAGCACTTGCCTAGCATGTGTGAAACATTGGGTTTGATCCTCAGTACCACATAAAAATAAATAAAATAAAGGTCCTTTGACAGCTAAAAAATATTTTTAAAAAATTGCACACAAATGTTCACAGGATTATCCATAATAGCCCAAAAGTAGAAACAATCCAAATACCTATCAACTAATCAATCAATAAAATGTGGGGTATCCTTGTATGATGGACTGTGGAATATATAGAGAGCAGTAGAAAGCATAAAACACTGATACAAGTTACAACACGTATTAATTTTGAAAACATTATGCTAAGGGGAAAGAAGCCAGATTCTATCACAGAAAATGTTTATAATTGTGAAATATAGAGACAAAATGTAGATTAGTGGTTTCTTAGGGCTGGGGTAAGGATGAGAGAGTAGGAAATAACTGCCAATCAGCACAGAGTTTCTTGTTGGGGTAACAAACATGTTCTATCAGCAAAAAATGGATAAGAAAAACGTGGTAGGTATACACAATCAAGTTCTATTCAGCAATAAAGAAAAATGAAATAATGTCCTCTGCAGATAAATAGATGTAACTAGAGAACATCATGCTAAGTGAAATATGCCAGACTCAGAAATTCAAGGGTCAAATGTTTTCCTCATATGCAGAAGCTAGAGGGAGAATAAAAGGAATTTAAAAAAAAGTMAGAGGGATCTCTTGAAAATAGAAGGGAGATCACTAGAGGAAAGGTAGAGGATCCAAGGGGAGAAAGGCATGGAAAGGGGAAGAGCCGGGGAATAAAATAGACTAAATTATGCTACATGCATGTGTAACTATGCCACAATAAATCCCACTTTTGTGGGATAATTATAATGCACTAATGAAAAATAAATACATGTAAACAAAGAAAAGGAAGACTAGAAGAGTAGAGGAAAGGAATAGGGGGAAGGACTGAGAGAGAAAGGGGAATAAATAGGAATAAATTATGTGCATATATGAATGTCACAATGAACCCAACTATTATGTCAAATTATAATGCACTAATAAAAAATTAAAAAGTCCTAAAACTTTGCTGGATACAGTGGTGCATGCCTGTAAYCCCAGATGACTTGGGAGGCTGAGTTAGGACTGCAAGTTTGAGGATCGCTTCAATAACTTAGTGAGACTTTGTTTCAAAATTTTAAAAAGGGAAAGGGATGTAGCTCAGTGGTTAAAAACACTCCTGGGTTTGATCCCTGGTACAAAAAAAAAAAAAAAAAAAAGTTCTAAAACTAGATTGTGTGATGGTTGCATAATCCTATGACCAAAAATCATTGACATGTACACATACATATAAGCCCTTTACAAACTATCAAGTGTTAAACATATGCAAGACATTAATAAAATATACCTGGGATTTACTTTTTCTTTTTTTTTTTTTTCCCTTTTGGGGTGAAAAGTGAACACTCAGGATATACAAAATCCTTGCTAAAGCATTATACACTGGAGTAAGTGTTTCCTTTCCTACACCTCCTCCACCCTCCTCCACCTTCACTGTTCAGGCCTTCACCCCACAATCCCGACAGGGCAGTGTGAATTTCAGTAAAACAAAAGAGCAAGAACAC